CGACACATCTTAATTCTTTTTTCATCCTTTTTCCCCTCCCTTCCCTTCTTGATCCCCTTACTTTTTGCAATACAAAACAAAACAAAACAAAACAATCTCCCTATTTCCTATTATCTATCTTTTGTTTTACTCTTTATATTTTTGGGTTTCTCATATAAGAGTAGCTGTGATATTTAAGCTTATCACCTCATAGCAATTTAACTTCAAGCTCATACAAAAACTATTCTTTTAGTTCTCACCTCACATTTTAGGTTACTGATATCATAGTTTACATCTTTTATGTCTTTTTTTGGTACAGGGGATCGAACTCAGGTCCTTCTGCACATGAGGCAGGCAGCAGAACCACTGAGCAAAATCCCCGGCCCTAGTTTACATCTTTTATATGCTATGCCTCCATATGAAATTGTTATAGTTATAGTCATTCTAAAATATTTAACTTTTACATGAGAGATAAAAGTGATATATACATCACCATCATAATACCAGACAATCCTGGGTTTGACTTTGTATGTACCTTTGCCAGTGAGTTGTATACATTCATACATTTTTACATTGTTAAATAGCATGCTTTCATTTCAGCTTGAAGAACCACTTTTAGTATTCTTTGGAAGACAGATCTGATGATGACACAACTCTTCAGATTTTGTTTAGGAAGTCTTTATCTCTTCTTCACTTCTTTTTATTTTTGGTACCAGGAATAGAACTCAGGATCTCGCACTTCCCAGGAAGATGTTATGCCACTGAGCCAAATCCTCTTCTTTACTTCTAAAGACAAGTTTTATGAGTATAGAATTCCTGGTTGTTAGTTTGCTCTTTCAGTACTTTAAATACATATTACTACTCCCTCTGGGGCTGTAATGTTTCTACCTACAAAGCTTCTGATTGTCTTATGGAAACTATCTCTTGCTGCTTTCAAAATTTTCTCTTTTTCTTTGAATTTTGATTATAATTATGTTTCAGTATATAACTTTTCAATTGACTTTTAGGCCTTATGAATCTGGCTACCCACTATTCCCTGAAATTTAGGAAGCTTTTAAACTGTTATTTCTTTAAATAGACTGTCTGTTCTTTTCTTTTTGTTTTGTCCTTCTGATATTCCAAAAATGCATACGTCATTTCACTTAATGGTGTGCCGTAAGTCAAATAGGCTTTCTTTACTCTGGTCTCTTCCTTTTTCTATTTGCATCTCTGACTGGACATTTTCAAATGACCTTTCAGCTCACTGATTCTTCTGCTTGGTTTAACTGCTTTCCTGAAGTTCACTAAATTTCTTTGAGAACATTATTCTAAATTCTTTGTTAGTCAGTTCATAGATCTCCATTTCTTGAGGATCAGTTGTTTGGCATTCTTGTAGGGTCCTTTGGTGGTATCTTGCTTCAGATTATTATATTCCCAAGTTGGAAATATCTAAAGATTGTGCCTATAGTGAGGCAGGGAGGGCTGCAAACTGTGCTCTACAATTGTGTAGGGCCATTGGCTGGACTCCCCCAGTGAGGCTATAGTTTCCGCTCTGTAGTCAGGCAGGGCCGTGGATTGGGTTTCATGTTCATGTGGAGCCGTAGGTAGGAGTCCATGGGCAGGCAGAGCTGCTGGCCTGGCTCCTTGGTCACACTAGGCCACAGGCTTGCTCCACAGCTGCATGGGGTTCTAGCTTTGCCCCCTTCCCTGGCAGAGCCACAGGCTGGGCTCTGTGACTGGGCTGGGTCCTTGTTCAGGTGTCTTGGTGAGGCAGGGTGGCAGGCTATCGTCCACGGTTGGAGACAATCACTGGCCCTGGTAGGCTATAAGTTGAGCTCCATGGCTAGGCCAGACAACTGGCTGCAGACATAGCCAGACAGAACCACAGACTGTTCCCTAGCCAGACAATGCCAAGAGTTCAGTTCTGTGGGTGAGCAGAGCTACTGACTGGGTTTCGGTAGGGTGACGACAGTGCCAGCAGGGATAGTACTGCACCAAAATCTGTGCTCTAGTCACTTTGTTCTTGGTTGACTCCAGGTAATCAAATCCTGCTGAGCCCCTAGGATTCTCACTTCTTGTGAAATGAGACAAAATTGGGCCTCTCACAAAATATCCCTGAACAGTGAGAGAGCTGAATGTCTGCCTCAAGCTCTCTTCCACTTGGAGAAACTATTGACCACAGGAAATTTTGGGGTATGGAGCTGTGCTAACCTGAGAGTAGGAGACCATAGTCCAAGAAAAATTGTTTCCCTTACCCTTCCAAAGGTTATTATTTTTAAGGCTTTGTGCTGCAAAGGGATGCTTCAACATCATTCCCAGCTTCTGGAATTTTCACAGACATATTCTTGTCTGTGAGTAGCTGCTAGCTAGTCTTTCTGTGAAGAGTACTAAGGTCAGGAACCTCCTATTCTGCCACCTTTCTGAAGTCATTTGCATTGGGATTTTGATTTCCAACTTTGTTCTATATTAAAAAGGAACAATTCCATTGACTCTTCTTTACAAGAATTCCTAAGTGAAAGTTGGGTGGTCCAAGTATAGAAGATATCATTTAAGAATATTTAAACTTCTGTGGCTGAAGGAAACGATCAAATTAAATTATCCTTAGGATCTGCCATCCACAAGAAAGTCACTTGTGTCAGTGGGACACTGCTTAGTGCTGCAATTTCTAAACTGCTGAATGAAGTCAATGTGAAATATAACTAAACTGCAAGTTTTAGCTCTACTAAAAAAAAAAAATAAGAACCAGGTATTTAACTCAGTGGCACTGTGCTTGCCTTGCAAGTGCAAGGTCCTGAGTTCAATCCCTGGTACCCCCCCCCAAAAAAAAAAAATGAAAAGAGAAAAGCATAAGGAAGAAGGAGAAAATAAAAAAGAGATACACACAGAAGAAAGTCATAGAGTTGTGCCCAAATCAAAATGACACACTGACATCCATTTAGCTAATAGTTAATAATTTGTAGGTACACTTGGACAATTAACCTTTAAACATTAAAAGGCCTAAGATAAATGTTCCTGATATTACTTATGTACTCAGTGCTCACTGGCTTGCTAGCCCAGCCAACCCAGTCTTGGTTCCCTCTGTTCCTTCTTCCTACTTCAGCCTCTAGTTGTTTCTACACAGACCCCCATGCCAACAATAGCCACCTACAAACCATCTGCCAAAGCTGCCTTCCTGCTTTCATTCATCTGCAAATCATCTTAAATCCCACCCCATCAGGAAGCCTACTCCAATTTGTAGGCAGGATTATAAGAGTTAGTCTCAACATTATGATAAGGATGTTTTATATTTTATATGAAGTCTTTTTTTAATTCTCTCAATATTCACAATAATATTATGAGGTATTATTGTACCCATTTCACAAAGGATGAAATTAAAGCTTAGAAATGTTAAGTGGTTTATCCATATTTCCTCAGATAGTAAAGGATAGAGTGGGAACTCAAATACAGGTCTTCTAATTGCTTTTGACACAAATTTTTTTTTTTTTTTTTTTTTGGTGATCGAACTGAGGATTTTGCGCTTGCGGGGCAGGCAGCGGAACCACTGAGCTAAATCCCTGGCCCCACAAATTGGTTTTTGAAAGGCTGAAATGTATTATTCCATCTATTCTAAGGAACGTAAAGGATATTCAAATGATTATGCAAGTGCCCCCTAAGCTCATAATAAATATTAAACCTATTTATCTGCAAAATTAATTGACTTCATGCAGTAGTAAACCAGATGTAAGAAACTACTACTAGGAGTGAATGGCATAGGCTCTAACTTTTTACAAGCAATAGAGTACTATTTAGTGTTTCAATTTGCAAAAATGCAATAAAAAATCACTTGCATAAAAATGCAAGCTAAATCCCTGGGTGGGGCTATTAGTAAATAATAAGTATGTAAGATACACATGATATCTTTATGATGCCCTCAAGGTAAGAGTGATTACAAGGGAAATTTAACAATTAATGTCCCAGGAGAAAGCAGCAAATATTAAACAAATTTGAGCCAAGTCACTTTTACTAAATTTTCATGTTTTTAATAGATATTCTTGAGTCCATGTCAGCCAATGGATAAAATTCAGGAGTTATCAACGGAATGAAGTCCAATCTACGATCTCCAGGTACCCCTTTATGCAAGTTTTCTCTAAACTTTCTGCCATAATGGACTTTTTGGTCTCATGTTTGCCTTGTTTTTCTGATGATGTCTCATTTCCTTCAGTCTGGTAGTCAGTGACATTCAGATTGCACTGATAGGGCTGACTCTACAGTCTTTACAGAATAGATATCAAAATTACTAGATAGCCACTGACACCATTTTGCTAACCCCTTCGATCTCAAATCCTCTTCTACTCTCTACCCAGTCCTATAATCAAGTTCTTTTTCAAAACCTATCACTGGGTCAGGTTATAGATGTTCCACATCATAACATACTGCATGAGTCAGATATATGAAAAGACTTTTCACTGTCCTAACAGTAAAAAGATAATCAATGTCTCACCAACCACCTGGCTGGTGCCTTAATGATTCATGGATTTGATCACATGACATAATGTAGGATAAAAGCCACACTTACATTGGGTCCATTCTTATTAATCTTCTGCAGGTTATAAAAATCATAGACCTAAATGGATCCTTTAATAGAGGAAGAGAAATGTGAATTTAAAAAGAAGAAAATACGGTAAAGATAAAAAAGGGTAAAGCAGGGCTTCTGAAATGGAAGAGTGAGGCCCACCGTAAAACCACTCCTCCAAAAAAGCAATAACAAATATTACTGAAATAAGATTTCCTAGAACTCTGAAAACTAACAAAAGTTTTGCAACAATCTGAGGAGCATTTATTCAGTGAAAATACAAACCTTCATAAGAACAACAGTTCCTGCATTGTAACTTGATCTACTCTCTACCCCTCTCCACAAATCCACAGCATGCTTTAAACCCCACAACCACAATAGCTATGAAAACCGACAGCAAGGTGATCCTAGACATAACACAGGCAAACTGCTGAAAGCCAAAAACAAGGAAAGCATCGTGTAACCAACAAAAGATAAACACACAAGGTACCTTCTATAGGTGACATCTGAAACTATGAAGTCCAAAAAGCAGTAGCATGACATCCTCCAAGTCCTGAAAGAAAAAATTGTCAACCAAGAACTCTGTATGCAAATTAAGATATTCTTAGATAAAAACAGAATTCATCGCTAACAGATCAATAAGAAATGCTAAAGGAAATCCTCCAGGCTGATTGGAAAGGACACTAGAAAGTAACTCAAATTCATATCATCAAGAAAATTAAAAGAGCCCACAAAATGAGAAAAAAAATTGTAATTCATATATATAATAACAGATTCATTTCCTATATATATATGTATATATAAAACTTTTAGACTCATGAATACAAAGATAAATAATGCTATTAAATGAGCAAAGGATGTGAACAGATATTTCTCCAATAAACACATGCAAGTGCCCAAGACACTCAAAACCATTAATCATTAGGGAAATGTATATCAAAACTACAATAAGCTGGTGTACTGGTGCAGGCCTATAATCCCAACACTCTGGGAGGCTGATGTAAGAAGATCTCAAGTTCAAGCCCAACCTGGGCATGTCTCAAAATAAAAATTTTACAACTGGGTTGGGGATGTAGCTCAGAATTCTCTGTGCTCAATCCTCAGTATAGCAAAACAAAACAAATGAAAACAGCAACACACACACACACAGAGACACCAAACAAAAACACAATTAAATACTACTTCACGCCTCCTAGGGTAGCTTTATTAACAAAAGACAGACAATAAATAATAATGAGGATGTGGAAAAAGAGCTAACCTTGTACAATACTGACAGAAAATGTAAAAATAAGGCACCCACTTTGGAAAACAGTTTGGTAGTTCCTCCAAATGTTAAACACAGAGTTACAATATGATCCAACAATTCTAATCCTAGGTATATAATCAAAAGAAATCATAACTGTCTTAGTTATTTTCCTCATTCTGGGACAAAATACTCAACATATACAACTTAAGGGGAAGGTTTATTTTGGCTTAAGTTTGTAGAGGTTTCAGTCCATAATTTGATGGCTAAAAGGTGGGACAGCAAGGCAGAGGGGGATAGCAGAGGAATAGCTGATCAAGTCATGGTGTCCAGAAAGCAGAGAGAGAGAGACTAAAGGAGGAGCCAAGGAGAGAGATAAACCCTAAGTGACCCACCTCTTCCAACAAGGCCCTATCTCGTAAGAGCAAAACTGCATAATCCAATTAACTTTCAAAAGCCCCACCTCTGAGTACATGAGGATCTTGGGGGACATCTACATGTAAGCCACAACAATAACATGTCTGCACAAAAACTTGTACACAGGTGTTTGTGCAGCATTATTCATGATAGCTAAAAAGTAAAAATGACCAAAATGTCTATCCACTGGGCAATGAATAAACTGTGATTATCCATGATGGAATACTATTTAGACAGAAAAAAATAATGAAGTACTGATACATACTCCACAGGAATTAACCTTAAAAACATTGTACTAAGTAAAAGTTAAACACAAAAGACCCTCTGTATCGTTAAATCAGTTATATAAAATGTCCAGAACAGACACATTAAAGACAGAAAGTAGATTGCTAGTTTCCTACAATTGGGGAATAGGTAGTTAGAAAAGTACTGCTAATGGGTACAAGTTTTTGGGCGGGGTGGGGGTGAAAACGCTCTAAAATTAGAAGGTAGTGATTTTTGTCTAAAGCTGTGACTACACTAAACATCCTGAATTGTATGCTTTAAATGTGTGAATATTATCGCATGTGAACTACATTTCAATAAAACTCTTTTAACAAAAAATAACAGCTAAGGTAACTTCAATAAATTCACAGTCATGTACTATAACTTGCAGGAGATTTGAGAAATTTTAACTAGAAGACATTAAATATTACGTGTGTCAGGAACAGCTCATGATTTGTTGTGTAGTAAGGATTACTAACAGCTAAACTTTGCCAATTGTTTACTATGGCAGCAATAGTAGTGACAGGCACTGTGCTGTATAAAGCAGATACTCTAAAAGATTGCCAAATGGATCAAAGTAAGTATCTCATTTCATGTAATCCATCAAAAGAAAACAAGATAGCACTGGTTTAAAAAAGAAGAAAGTTAAAAGTATATCCATCACAGTATTATTTATAATTGTATGACCCTAGAAACCATTTAAATATTCAACAGTACCCAAATATTCCATTTATCTATGTCCTATCACTCAGTATTTAATCAATGAAAGTTATAACTAAGAAGTCTACAGTGCTTCTTGCATAAGCAGTAATATACTCAGAAGGGTATGCTACAAAATTGCATTATGTATTATGATATTAGCAGCAGCTATTCAACATTTCAGACACTGCAATAAAAATTAATTCATTAAATCCTCAAAATAACCCTTGGAAAGAAAGGTTACTGGGAAACTGAGTCACAGATAGGCTAAGTAACATGTCCAGATCACCATGCTTATAAGTGGGAAATTTAGCATTTAAATATTGATCATTTGATAACTTAGATCACAACTTTACCACAGACTGCACCTCCTGTCTACCTTAGCTTCACATTCATCATTTACATGGTATAATTAAAATATATGGTAAATGTTTAAATTTAAAAAACATTTACTATAATAAAAGACACATTGCCATAAATCCCTCCTAAATTACTCTCCCTCATTTCCAACAAACTTAGCCCATTGTTCTTGCTAATTGATGAGGCAGTTCTGGAAGTCTTCTTTCACAAGTGTGTTTAGTTGTTCTATCATAGCTGCTTCAATGTCCTGAAATCATTCAAGATGTTTACAACAATTTATATAAAATAAAAGCAGTACAGTGTGTCTGCATCCACCTTATTCACTGCATTTGGGCACTATATGTTTTCTTGCTCATTCCTAAAGTCAAAATGACCATGAAAGGTAAATATTTTAAATAGACTCAGGATACTGAGGCAGCTATGACAGCACAACTAAAGATACAAAAGGTGACTTCCAGATCTGCTTCAGAAAGTGGCAAGAATGATGGGATAAATATATTCAAAACAAGGGGGAGTATTCTGCAGAAGATTAATGGTAATGTGTCTTTTATCACAATAAATTTAAAAAAAATTTTAACACTCATATATACCTGGTGCTTGTATAAAACATGTTTATGGGTTAAGACTGGGACTAGGAGAGACACTCAAAAACAAAAATACTCAATTTTCTTATAAGATTAGTAGTAAATTTTTGTGCTGTAATTTTTAATTTTTTTTAATCCATATACATTTTTATCTTTATATAAATAAAAATGAGGGAGGAACCACAATCTTATATTCCCATAATTACCATTCTCTCCTAGCTCCTTTAGGATAAAATAGTTCATGAATATTAAGAAAACTTAATGCAAATCCAACACCAAAACAAGAAAAAATCATCTTGGGTCTATCTTAGGTAATGTATACTGTGATATATTGTAGCAATCAATTTTACCTTGAATGTATCTGCACTGTTAGGGTTAAACAGCTGGTGTTTTCCAGACCCCAAAATAATAGGACCTGAACATCTTGTTTCTCCATAGACACAAAGGAATACTGTTGCCGTGGTGCCAGCATTTTCAAGATCCCTAGTGGCAACAGTCACCTTCCAGTCCCCGTCTGCAAAGGAAAAAATGAAATCAATATGAAGCAATGAAGGAAAACCCTATTAATATTAGGAAAATGCAGAATTTTATTTAGTCTACTCAGTTACAAATTGAATAGTTGATACAATCAAGAAGTACTGAAATGGTTGCTTATTATGGACCTCCTCTTTGGTAGTAAGGATATGAAAAAGTTTTGGACACTTTGTAGGATTTTAATTATAGAAAATAGCAGAAAAATAGATATAAACAGAACAATAGATATAATGGGCAAAACTGCTGAGTTGAAGGCATTTAAAACTATGCATTTGGCTGAAAGATTTAGGAGTTAGGTACTTCTCTCCAGTCTTTGGGTGGGCATGAATGACAGACTTGTACTGAGAGCCTGAGTTGAGGACATTACTGTATCTGTACCAAGGAATAGTCCTGCCAAGCTGGGGTTAGTAACACAGTTTGGTGATCTTAGTCAAACAGTGGTAAGGATGCAGAAGGCCTAAAAAAAAAGAAAAAAAAAAACTATGATTGATTTTTTTTTTTCATGAAAAATTGTTGAGTCCCCTTAGAGTTGGAATGAACCAACAGTAAGGGGGAAAATGCTGTATAAATAGGGCTTAGTGAAAAGAACTGGATTTGGGGGAGGGCAGATGAAGAAAAACTGGGTTGGAAATAAAGAAAGGCAATGCATCATATAAGCAGAATAGATATTTGAGCTTCCTGCAGTGAGACTGGAAGTACAAAAAGGTTGAGGCAAGCAGAGCATGACAGAAAACATCTTTTTAAAAGATCTATGCATTGTTCTATGATTGGTTTAGGTGGAAAGACAAATTGAAATAGTATAATGCACTGTGGAAAACTGCACTATGAACCCCTCAGCAGGCGAGCCCTCTGGCCCTGGGTCTTCACCATACGGCCTAGCATAACAAGCCTGCCACAGTGCTGTGTAGGGCATGCATTTCTGCTCATCATGGGCTACCCCTGGAGGGAAGAGCAATTTGAAGACATCTTTGTCATTTTCAAAGGCTCCATAAACAAGTACTGTCTTGTGAGTAAAATTTACATTTCCAAACTGTGATTAAAATCCATCACCATTCTGAACACAGGAATTTTCAATGACTCATCCACTAAGATGTTGCCTTTTCTTTAAATCTATTAATTCTACTCCCTTCTCCCACCTATATATCCACAGACATCATTGAAGATCTCTAACCAATTTGATAAAACTCACATAAGTAAAGCTTGTATAATGTTACATTTGATAATAAAGATAGAAATTAAGCCTCAGTTCCAGAACACCAAAAGAGTAGCAGATTCCACAGGGATGCGCTTTGCTGGCTCTACCTCATAGCCAGTTCGCATCGAGAAAGTCAGACTTACTGTGACAAAGTAGGAATCATGCACACTATAATCCCACTGAGGATTCCATAATTATACCAAATCAGACGGCAAACCTCACACCTGTGTTTTTAAAGAATCTCTTTCCCAGGCCAGGGATTTAGGTCAGTGGTTCTGCCGCCTCCCTCGAAAGCTCAAGGACCTGAGTTAGATCCCCAGTACCAAAAAAAAAGAATCTCTTTCCCTTTTTTAGGGTTAGGTTTTCTTTCACATTTTTTCCTTAGCTCCTTGTCTTGCTACCTGGGCCTTGCTATAGAATTTTCACCTCATAATACCACAGGGAGAGGGACAGGCATGAATTTACAGATAGGCTGGGATATCTTGTTCGCTAAAATACAGACACATGGGAAGGACCCCTGATTCATATAATATTTCCTCTCTTTTGGAATTAGCATGTTACCATGACAAAAGCCTTAGTGGTAGGATAACTAATGAAACATATCCTATAGTTATTTTTGTTGATTTTTAAGTCTTTTCTGAAACTGGAAAAAATCTTTTTCATAATTTCTAAAATACTTTAAAAACCTGATCACTTAACCTCTCTAAGAATGTCTCACTGTCTAAAACACAAAATAATTAAGAGCATTTGTAGAAAATAACATAGAGAAACATTATGAGTCATTATTTAAATTAAAAATTCCATTATCCTGTGAAACAGTTTATTTATAACTGGGCTAAAAATATGTTTAGAGTTTTTCTCTTGCCTATGTATGTGTCAAAATTACAAATTTTTAAAATAATTTTCTAATGTAAAACTTTTTAACCAAAAACCCCCACCAAATTCAGATACTTTGTCTATACAAGCTTCTTTGTTTTCTATTTTTATACTGCTGTTTAACTACAAAGATTCATACAAATTATACTGTCATCTGTTAATCTCTTTAGAAAATAGCATCGAACACTCTCATAGGAATAAAGAAAATTCAATATAAATGAAATCTAAATATTTATCTTACATTTATTGGTGTTCTGGAAGGTTTTTCTGGTTCTGGAAGGTTTTTTAAAAGTTGGTTGGTTATGCAGTGAACTATTGCTGACAATCTAACTTAAACAGGCCTATTTCATTCTCTTATCCTATTGTAGAGAAAAGGAAATTTTTTGGATACTACATCCCAAGAGGCTTATTTTTTTTGTTTAAAAAATATTTTAAAGGTAGTTTAGATACACTCTATGATCTCCAAATACTCCATAATAAATTTGAATTTATTCTTAATAATGAAGTAAAGTTTAACACTTCCACTTTTACAAAAATAAAAAATGTGTGCTCTGCTATTTCCATTGTCATATAACTAAGTGTAATCATGTAGGTATAGTTGAACTAGAAAATCCTAAAATTCAGTATATACTGCTATGTCAACAATTGCAATTCCATTAATAATTGTGGACCAGCTGACTTACAGATCTCAAGTTCCCATATTACACACAAGTATTGTGTTGTATGTTCAAGAGATACTCTAAGGCATTATGTGAATCCCCTGGTCAAATCAGACTTGATGCACTTCATAGATGGTCTCTAATACCAAGTTTACTATTGATTCAATAGCAAGGCACAGGAAAAAGTTCTTCCTTTGAAGAGGTCATAGACTAGGCATGGCAAAATATGGCCCCTGGGTCAAATTTGCCGTCTGTTTTGGTAAAGTTTCAATGACACAAAGCTATGCTCACTTGTTTATATGTTGTCTTGTGTCCTCTCCCACTACAATAGCTAAGAAGCTGCAGCAAAGATCACATGGCCCACAAAGCCTAAAATGTACATTATCTGTCTTTTTAGCATAAAAATTGGCAGGTTCCTCCCTGGACCATCAACATACTCAAAAATATCCTCTAGCCTGTATTGAAACATGTGCTTATTCGTATTTAATATGCAAGATTTAACCGATGGGTGCAGAGATATGAAGTCCTCTTGGTTTTCCAGCTCATGTCATAGTCTCTAGGCATGCCCCTACCAATCCACAAATATCTGGTTTGCTCTACCCAGACAGACCAGGCACGTCCTGAAGTGACGCACTGCATTGTTCAAATAAGTCCTCACTGGTATCTCCCAACCCACTCACTCTCTTGCAGGGTGGATGATTTGCTGGTTTAGTAAGAGGTGGACTCTATTTCTTTTGGTTGAGTCCAGGCTGCCTTTGGCCAATACAATGCAGTAGAAGTGATATTCTGAAGGCTAAGTTGACTTGGGTCTGTCAAAATGCTTTTTCTTGAGACAATAATACTTGGACCTCGGAAGCCAAGCTGTGGAAACTCAAGGTACACAGAAAGGCCTCACATAAGTTGGCAACAGCAGCAGCAGTCCAAGCATTATGCCTGTGAGGCAGCACAGGCAAACCACCTCGGAAGTCCAGCTGTATCTTTCAAGGTCTGCAACCACAGCACTATCCAACTGAAATCACATGAGAGGCTCCAAGCAAAATTCAACTTGATGAAGCATGTCAGCCTACTGAAAGGTGAACAGTAATTAAAGATATTGTTTTAAGCCACTAAATTGTGGAGAGATTTCTCACACAGCAACAGATACCTGGAACAGCTCCTGAAAGCCTTTCACAGAAAAAGGCTCCCCATTCCCTTTTATTTATAAGTACAATAAGAGCTTTCTGTCAGGTGCCTGGTTATTAGCATGTATGCAAAGGGATCTGACTGAAGCACCCCTTCTGTATATCTCAAATAAAGAAAACAAAATAGATAGAAGGCTTGCCATTAACTGTTTTCTTCACAATGTTATCAGCTGGAGGTTGATTCTCTGTATGGTACTAGTGAGTTACTGTATTTTGGCAAACACGTCCCTATACCTAGTGAAGCCTGTAGCCTATTCTTAGATCTTAACATTTTATCTTTGCCTTATTTTGTGCATTCTGCACCAGTGGTACATGCACTTCTCTTTGCCACTCAGAAAATTAATCCTGTTGTTGAATATAGAAACATCTGCGTCTAGACACATTTTCAGTTACTTGGCAACTACCCACTGAATACTCAGAGAAGTTCAGAGAAGATGCATGTAAATTAAGTTCTTACCATGTAATTGTTAGTTTGGCATCCTGGAGGAAAAACTCCTGACAACAGCTGTCTATGTTAACTAATTGCCACACTGAGAACAAACTATGGGACAGCCACCACTTTGCCTGACAGCACATCAGACACAAACACGGTTCTATGAGGCTTAACAGAGTGGGACCCAGAAAGATGCAGTGAATGTGAGAAAACTCCTACAACCTTCTACTCCCACGTGACAATTGTGGCTGGATTGAGACAGCCCAAAAGGACCACTATTGCTTTGCATGAAATATTTGCTCAAGTTTACCTGGGGGAGACATGGAGTGTTGTGGTGGGGGGAAGATGGAGAACTGCAGGCATTTGGGGTGGGGGGGACAAAGCCCTTTACTTAATCAACTCTGCTCCCACAAAAGTTCCAAGGGGGTCTTGCAGACTTGAGGTGATAAACTGAATGTACTCTCTTTGCTCTGGAAACAGGGATCAGGATAAATACTTTCTCCATCATTATGTCCATGGCGATGTTTTAGTATTACTTACAGATTAGCATGCTGGCAAATGTTTATTTTAGCTTTTCAAAAATAATACCAATGTCCACTTCTCAAATATTTACAGCCTCTGGCCATCTTGCTGCCT